GTCTTTTTTTTTTTTTTTTAATTTTCAAACCACCAGATAACATGTGGAAGACTGTTTCATACGGAGCCTAGCAGGACAATGTCGTCGTGCTGGCCGCAATGTCTCATTTCAATGTATGTGCTGGTGATTGATGGACCTGGTAAGGTCAGTCCCCTAACTATGCCTTCAGAACAAGAAGAGCCATGTTGCAAGGACCTTCAAAGAGATCTTTATAACGCTGTTAGGCTGCCAAATCCTAACTGTTTGAACGGACGAAGGTGGTGGGCTATTTGGAGCTAGCGCTGGTCTCCAAGCTGAATTTGTATTCTTTGTGCGGCAGCTGGGCTGGGGGCTTCAGGACAGGGAGCTAGTTCCTAGTCGCCAGTACAGCAATAGCATGAAAAGTCACGACAGCAGTATGAATTCCCCCTCCACTGCCAACAGGTATGCTTGCAATGACAGTACCAAGTAATCATAGTCATGGTGGTTTCAAACCATGCGGCTGCATCTACGCAGGTAGCGGGCTCTTTGGTTCCGCAAGTGCTCTCACCGCCGTCACAGGCCCCCAGCTTGATGTGTTGATGTCAGCGCCAGGGGTAGCTGCGCTCCGTCGAGTGTCTTTGGATTTACAATGCATGAGCTTTACGAAGAACAGGTTGCATTCTTTGTCGATTCATTCCTAGGTTTGTTGTTCAACCAAGTCTCAGGTAGTAAGCATACCGAACGCAGTACTTTTCTGGAAGTTGTATGGAATGATGTAGAGATCTGGAGCTACTGCTAATCGATTGTTGGTTGGAGATGCTTGCCCCAAGCCCTGAAACTTTCTTGCTTTTGATAGAGGTGGAGCGGCTTCAGTGTCCTCAAATGCCGCGTGCCGCAGCCGAAATTATAAATGCTTGGAGCGCAGTGCGGTGCAGCTGCTCAGTATCCACCCTCCCTCAAAATAATCTGGAACGCCATGGGAAGTACAGTAGCCTTGGCTGTATTTGGTAGTTTCCCAAAATGAGGGGACCCCAATATAGACCCCAAAATACTATAGTCCCTATTACGGGGATCCCCAAAATCGCACACGTAATTTTGGGAAACCCTCAAGATACCCTAAACCCTTAACCCGAAGTAGTAGTTTCCATTTTCTTTTCCATTATCCCCTATAAAACCCTATATGACCTCTATTTTGGGAAACTCCCCTATTTGGGTTTTCACGTTAGGCTGGGGGAGGTTATGGATCATCCCTAGAATCCCTACATACCCACCATCTGAGCTATATAGTCTCCCTTAGAGGGGGTTATTTCGGGGATTCTATACGGGGCTATTAAGGGGGATAATAGGAGTTTAGACTATAGCTCCTATGTCTTCTTTAATGCTCCACCTATAGGTCCCGAAATGGGCAGTATAAGGGGCCCCCTCTGGAGCCCTAAACCCTTAAACCCCTCAAACCCAAAACCCCTAAAACCCTAAACCGCTAAAACCCTAAACCCTAAACACCAAACCCTGATCTGAGGCCCAGTGTGCAGGCAAGACCTACGCGGCAGACCGACGAACCGATGGACACCTCCACTGAAGCAAAGGATGAGCGGCTATCCACGAGGTGCGTAGGGTTTAGGTTGGGGACTGCCCCCCCAGCAACAGTCTACATTAGGGGTCCTATTGAGGGCTATATATAACCATATTATAATTATGATCCAACTGTTACTGAGTGAGGGCAGTACCCAAAGTTTAGGGTGTCAGGTTTTGGGTTTGGGGTTGGACAGCAAGAATCAAGGTGCACAATTATATTAGACAAGTTAGCATGCTAGAACATGGAGTTCAAGGATTCGAGTTCATAATACGCTGTTCAGACATGGTTGAAGGAGGACTGACAGTACCCTTCGTGGTTGTTATTGGATACGAAGAGTCATCTAAGTAGGAGTGGTGTTGCAGCAGCACAAAGCAGTATAATTAGGTATTGAGGCAACGGAGGTGTGACAAAATTGTCATACTTCTTGGTAGATGTTCATTTGACAGATTCCATTCCGCTCCATTATAAATGTGCACATCGGCCCCCTAAAAAAGGCAGGTGTGGCAAGGACCTCAGAGTAGAAGTAGTTTCGACGAGGTTTGCAGATGTTTGAAGTCTCAAGTCTTAGCTCTTGATCCAGGCCTGCGCCACAAACAATCTACCTCCGCAGGTTCGATCGGCTGCCTGCATGACTATGATTATCATGATGATGATGACGATGATGATGACGGTGATGATGATCATGCTGAGAACGATAACGATATTGAGAAGGACATTGATACTGAAAGGAGTCCTGACGGGAAAGCTCAAACCTGCCGGCAGTCACAGCAGTTTTGAGGGGACACCCGAACCCTGAAGGAAGCTCAAGACCCACCCTTTGTCGCGGCAGCTTTCAACAGTTCTGCGCTGATACCTGTCCTCACGCATGTGTGGGGTCTCGCATGGTCACCAGCTGCCGCGACAGAGGGTGGGTCTTGAGCTTCCTTCAGGGTTCGGGTTTTAGGCTTCCTCGTCCGACCCCTCAAAACTGCTGCGTCTGCCAGTAGTTTTGAGCTTTCCTCTCCTATGGCCTTCGCCAGGTTTAAGCCAGATCTTCTTTAATGTAGTTTTGTTGGTTGAGCATGCTTTGAAAAACAGAGTGGCAGGCTGCGGAATTCAAGCCCTATGGTAGTTGGGCTTTGGGGTTAAAAACTTAGGGTCTAGGATGGGTGGAGGACATCCGGCGCCACCCTACACGTTTCCAGTAGTGGTAATTGCAGTACTTTGTGGATTCTTAGTAGCGCAAGATTTCGTTCATCCTCCGTAAACCCCTTATCCTTCAGCCCCTGAACCCCGTAACCCTAAAACCTAAACTGGAGTGGGTAGCTTGTTTGATTTTTATGGCCGTTAATCCCTAGATAGCCCCTACAAGGCTAAACATGTTCAGTGTCTCATAGGGACCCAAACCTATCCGAGTTAAACCTTTTTAACCCCAACCCCGCTGTGCCACTTGACTCCCAAAGCTTGATGCAGGGACTACACGCAGCTTCCGGTGCCTCTGACCCTGCTGTACTGGATGAGATGGCAGGACCCAAATATACCATGGTATCCCATATGGGGATGTATATGCTTACAGGGATTAAGGATTATATAAGCGTGTTTCATTGGCTTGCTACTGTCCTTCTACAAGACGCCTAGAATGGATTCCCTGCTTGTTTGGGGGAGGGTGTGCACTCCTGACTTTTTTGCTGTCTTGCCACTATATTACGCTATATATAGTATATCAGGGTTATATAGGGATGATGAAAAAGACAATGGAAGCCACTATAGTAGATTGGGGTTATGTAGGGATAATGGAAAGGGGAGGGTGCGGGTGCGGCTTGAGAGACTTCCCTAAACCCTAAACCATGAACCCTAAACCCTAAACCCTAAAATCCTAAACCCAAACCCTAGCTTTTGAGACTTTGATGCTGCAGCAGGTCCAGGGCTGCTGATAAGCTGCAGGGTTAAACGCTGCACTGGCACAGTAGTCCTAAGGTGAAAAGTATGGGCCCCTATTATGGGCCCTTAAGCCTTTAAGGGGGATTCTAGGGACCCTTAAGGGTACATATAGGACATATTATGAGGATCCCAGGGTTAAGGGCTCATACTAGGGGCCCGTAGTTTCAAGCTTAGAGTAGTGCCACCTGGGTGACTCTTTGCTTCCTCAATCATGTGCTGGGTACTGAGCGCGACATGGCACGGTTGCTTATCGTTTGCATGTACAGATACCATTAATGTATAGTTATCTGTATAGTCACAAATTACACTGTATCATTCAATACTAATATATTGTTGTGTCGTATACTAAACGTCAAATCTACTTCAGACTAAGGCGCAGCTGGATCAGCGCTTTGACCAGCTTGAAACGGGTGGTGCGCTTCGTGCAGCCATTCTCAGCCTGTAGCCCATCTCAATTCACGGTCTTGGTAAGCAGCAGGGGATTGTACAGAAAGGTTCATAGTGGTGGTAATGAGACGTAAAAGATTCATGCCTCTCTTCGTAAGGTTGCCTTCCAGGGTTATGACTTGCGATCTTCGAGTGTTTGTCCGCACGCCGTCTACAACGGCTGCACAATTTTTTCAGGATGAAACCCTAAATAGTAGTTCCATTTTCTTTTTCATCATCCCAATCTAACCACAGTATAACCCTATACAGCCCCTATAAAATAGCAGCTCTGATCTTCGTCATTAGAATCAAAGTTGCTCCTCATGCGAAGACATTGTTCCATGGCTAGCATGGCAGGCCTTCCTCTCTCTCTCTCTCCCTCCCCTACTTGCCTCCCCAAAGCTAACAAGGAACCTGGGACGTGGAGATGGTCCCGGGAAGCTTGAGCAAGTCTCCGTATCCTTTTAGATTTTTCTGGTCTGAACTATCCAACAATCCTGTCCTGCTCGTTCTGGTTCAGGTTGGGTGATTGTTTCAGGCAGGTGATTCGGCATCTTGCTAGACTGTGGCATCACCAGAAAGTCGATAATCCTTATGGAGGTTTCCATAAATAGGGGATCCCCAACTCCAATTTATTATGATCCTCATTATGGACACTACCCCAAAACCCTGAACGCTAGACCCTAATTTTCGGAAAGTCTCAACTTGTCTACCATACCGTGACATCCCAAACCTGAATCCTTGAGCTCTAAACCCTCAGTGAATTCTCTTACACACGCCTACATAGTCTCTACATATCCCTATATGATCCCTATGCATCCCTGTATATACCCCATGTAATTTGGAGACAGGGTTCTCCAACATAACTGGGGACAGTGCTGTGCCAACATCTATGGTGCCTAAACCCTAAGCCCCCAAACCCATGATTTCTATGGTCCCCCTGTTTCCCCTACATATCTCCGCAGTGCCTGCTTGGAGATATATTTTCCCTTAAGTAGATAGAATATGGCTTTGGGTATATTATAGTAAGATCCTCATACACCTCATATTCTATCTACTTGGGAATATACCCCCCATAAGGCCCCAAAGTCTGACCTTGTAATCCATCCCTGAGAAAGGTCAGACACCTGGACCAAGAGGCCAACCCTTTGGGTTTAGGGTTTAGGGTTTAGGGGTTTAGGGTTTAGGGTTTAGGGTTTAGGGGTTTAGGGTTTAGGAGCTTTTTGAGGGGTTCGGGGGTTCGGGGGTCAGGCAGTGAGGATCCGGCTGCTTTGCACTTTTTGAGGAACAGCGTTTGGGTTTTAAGAGTTTGGGGCTTTGAGGCTTGATATGCTCAAAGCAGCTGAGACCTTCCAAGCATTGGGGAACCATTCTTTTCAGCTCTCAAGGTGAGAACCTGAATTATTTCGTGGCCGCAGGTCATAGTGTTGGAGCATTGGGCCTATGGAGTTCGGCAGACATTGCTTTGCATTTGAAGCTCGCATTCCAGGGCTCTAGGATAACACGCGATTTCTCAGATATATGGGCTCAAATTCAGGGTCAGAAGTAGATGGCATTGTTTTGAGGATATGTGAGGATCCCAAAATTGATAATTGCACGTTTCATTCGAATTGCGCCTAAAACTAGGCTCCCTGGTGCTTCGGGATTCGCTACTAGGATTGTTGATCTTATTGGAGGTAAGTAGGAAATCAATAAAAACAAAACATAGGGATTATGTAGGGATTACGTTCCCTTATTCCCTCTTCACCACCAGTAAGTGATACGGGCTGCTAGGAATGGAGAAGAGAATGAAACTCACTACAGTCAATAGTTCATTGGAGTTTATAGATTTTATAACCTCTATAGTAGCCCCCTATATACTCCTTAACCAACCCTCCTTTTAAGTAGTTTAGATTATGGCTCATATAGGGATGATATAGTGGAGGTTCAAGGTTCAGGAGAAGCTCCCTTACTGCAGGCTGCAGGCTGCCTCCAGTTTTTTAAGGTCTTCACAAGCAAGGTCAATGGGTTTAGAGTTTAGGGTCTAGGGTTCAGGGTTTAGGGTTTAGGGCAACGATGGCTACTGCACAGGCTCGGATCATTTTGCATACGAACTGTAGCGTAAACTCCTGAAAGGGGTTTGTATGGGGGACCATTGTAGGGCTTATGACGGGGGGATGCTAGGAGTTTAGACTATGGCTCATATGGTCACCTGTAAACCTTTATGAAGCTGCAGTAGAAGGTATGCCTCAGAACCCTACTCTAAGTGTTTAGACCCCTACAGTGGCCTTCGGGCTTAGTTGGGGCAACAAAGGAGAAGGACTCCGTGACATTAATTTAGCCTGAAACCTGAAACTCTAGACCCCAACCCTACATCCTAAATCCTAGACCCTAGGTACTAAATCCTAAACTCTGACAACGTAAGCTGCAGGTCGCAAAAGGCATTGCTGGCAGCCACGACCGAGACATCCCTCGGGGCAGATGAGCAGAAGAAGGACAAACTCCCCCCTAGCACCTTTTTTTTGGGTAGCGGCGTGATAGCGGTATGTAGGCTTAAGGGTTGAGGGCTCATTTTGAATCAAATTAGAAAAGCCGGGATGCAATAGAAACTGGGCTTATGCATGTGTTTACAGGAATAACAGGTTGAGGTCACCTCAGCCCCCAGGGAAAAATCTGACGGTTGCCAAAAACACTGGGGCCCTTGTTTTGGGAGTCCTCAGAATAAGGATATTGATGGAAACCTCCATCTGGAAACAGGGTCTGACAGCACGGGTCGTATATGCGCCTCATGGGTAAACTGGCGCTTCCCAGCGGATGCAGGAAACCTTGAATCACTTAGGATCCCCAACAGAGTGTGAATCCTTGGGTATGAGGTATATGGGGTGGTGCAAGATTTCCTCCATCCACAGCAGTATGTGTCTTTGTAATGTATGGATCTATACGTAGGTTTCCAGTTGAAGTAGTAGCAAAGCTTGTCTCTTCATCATCGCTTTCAGTAGGGATCTGAGAGATCCGAACAGAGAGTGGGATCATGTTTGTTGAATCATGCCTGTAATCCCTGTTAACCGCAATGCCTTGTGCGGCTCTTCCGCCGAAGGATCGTGTACTCTCACAAGCCTATCAATACCCTGGTCCCAGAGCATCCTGCCAGGGAAGCTAAGCAACCCGCTCACCCGAAACATGCACTAGACATCGTTGAAGAATATTTTTCTTCACAGATACATGACTTTTATAGATTTGAGTACAGTACAAGAATGCTCCTGTTGGCAGTAGCTCAACAAGAGCCCGGCTCTTCTTGAAGGAGAAGGATGCAGCCTTTGACCTTCTCGATGCACTCACGAAGTCTGGGGCGCTCCCCCTGGTGAACGCCAGCCTCCACGTGGCCCGGCGCCGTTGAAGCCGTGTAGGGCAGAGATTCAGGGCGTACTGCTTTTGGGGTTTTGGGATTCAGGGTTTAGGGTTCTTAGCCTCCAAATGAAATTACGTACGACCCTCCACACTTCGGATTCTGACGCTGCCACTACAGCCAGAAGCCCCTAAACCCCGATTTTGGAATACCGCCATGCAAGCAGCAACGTCTAAAGCCATTTGTGAGAACAGACTTGAGACTTGACCGGGCCCCTTTTGGAGTTCCATGTTTGTTTGGAAGGTATCCGCAATTGATGTACTATCAAAGTGCCCGCAAGCAGCGCTGCCCACCCTCAGACAGCTGCAGCTCTCACAACTAGCATCAGGCTTCTTAAAGCCGTGAATTATTTTTAGTCGCTTCGCCGTGAAACTGCGCGCAGCACCTTCCAACTGCGCATGGCTCGAGATGCACGTGGTTGTCGAAGGTCGTGAGGATATGTTCTTTACACCTTTGATGCTAGAGTGTGAATCCGGAATTGCTAAGTCTCATTTTCTTACCCGCAACCCGGAGACTCACTCGTAATCGAATATCTATATATATATACATTATATATATATATTCATTCTCTTATTCCTTACTCGCCCCCAGTAAGAAACCACCCAAAACGAACATCAAGACCTGAGTGCATGAGCTGTAAACGTAAGAGCGCTGAGCGCTGGACAAGCTTGTAGGCTTGAACATGTCTTGGCCCTATTTGGAGGGGCCCGGGACTTAGCACGTAGGTGAGTAGGTAAGTTACGGGGATAAGTGGGGCTATTAAATGGACTATATGCGTGAAAAATCTACTTACTCAGTCCCCCTGACCCCTCAAGTACTATTAAAACAGCCCTGTTAGATCACGCCAGCTGGCCACTTGAGTGCTGAGGTGGTGGTGGCAGCCACCCACTGCTTCGACAAAACAGAGCTTTGCCCAATTTCAAGGTTGTTTATGACTGTTCAGAACTGCCCGCACGTCGATGGTGTGATCTGATCATGAAATTGTCTGCAGCAAAGTCCACATCCTGATTTCCTACCAAGTCAAAGGCTCAGGGGCAGACCCTTTCACAACCGAGGTAACTGAGACGGTCATCCAGGACAACATGAACCCCATTGAGAATGTGGAGCGTTCGGCTTTAATCATGGTCTCTGGGTGTGCATTAAGCAGAATGGTGCAGGGTTTAAGTCGAGACCTTGGCTGGGGACCATGTCAGGGATCACCTGCAGTAGGTATGAGAGGGAAATTCTGCAGAGTTCATCACGGCAAGCCAGGAGGGCAAGAGTACCTCTCCCGATGAGATGCCTGACGTTCCCTCAATATCCTTGTGGGCCTAGGTACACCCCCACACCCGTTCAGGCTTGAACTGGCGAATGTGAAGCGAATCTCTGCTACGAAGCCCTACTTGCAATCTTTTGGCAACATATCCTTAACCCCAAGCCCTAAGCTCAATTAGGGTCCCCAGTGTTTTGTTGGGATCTGAGAGGAACGCCTTGTGCATCCCCATGCCTTAAACCCTAAGCCACTGAAGAACACACCACCAGGGTTTAGGGTTTAGGGTAACCATCAAACGGAAACCATGCCCCCCTAAACCTTCCTAAGGCTGGAGCCCTCAACCTTAAACCCTGCGCCACTAAACCAACCCGATGCGTCCATAGTAACTTCCATTTTCTTTTCCATTATCCCTACAACACCTACGTAACCCTAAACCCTAAAGCCTAGTTTCCATTTCATTTTCCATTTTCTTTTCCATTTGATTCTCCATTATAAAATGCTTGAGTTTTTCTCCAACTCATAGGCTCTCAGGGACCCTCAATAAGGCAATACAAAGGGTGTAGGGTTTAGGGGTTTAGGGGTTTAGGGGTTTAGGGTTTAGGGTTTAGGGGTTTAGGGGTTTAGGGTTTAGGGTCCCCATAGAATCCCTGTAGGATCTAGTCCCCTATTTCCTACTAACCCTCAACTCTAAATCCTAAACACTAAACCAAAAGCCGTTGTCCTTAAATTTTAGGGATTGTATCTGAGGCTTCCACCATCCATCAGCAGCCTCTGGGTGCCTTGGTTCGAGTGCCTTGGTCTACTTCACTTCTTTCCACTTCCTAGGTAAGCATCCTAGGTCACAAAACGTGGTTGCCTGGGAAGAACTATTCAATTTCTGGTTGTTTGGCTCCACAGGTAGGGTTTAGGGTTTAAAGTTTAGGGTTTAGAGCCTTGAGTTCAAGGTTTGAAGTTCCTAGTTGCGCTTGCAGATTTAGAGTTTCGCTTTGGGGTTGGGGGATTTAGGTTTTCAGGTTTAGTAAGGAGTTTCAGGGGCTTATCCCTGGGATTCTGTGGATGGAGACCTGAGCTTCACAGCATATTGCGATTTCTATGTGTCCGCAGTGTAGCGACTTTGTACCAGGTATCCAGGATTGCATTGTAGTTCTGATGGGTTGTCTGAAATGTGATGTTCCAATCCTGGGGTCCCTTATACGAAGTCTAACTACGTGAAGCAGGCTCGCTTCATGAGCGCCTTGGCAACCCTTGGGGGTTAGGGCCTGAGAGTCTTCTTCATGAGAGCTATGAGGTTCTGCAGGAAGGCCTTGTTTTCTATATTGGGGTTACATTGGGGTTATATTGGGGTCATGTTGGGATTACATTGGGGTTATACTGGGGCTATCTATATATATATATGTATATATATATGTGTACTTAAAGCCAGTCAAGATGTGAAGTGCAGGCGTCGGTGCGATGCTTCTACGGATCCACAAAATCAATTTGATGGACCCAAAAGTGCTGCGTCATCGTCCAACCTAGTGGGGGTTCCAACAAATTGCAACGAGTAGAATTCTGTACGGAGACGGTAGGAAAGTTCAAAAGACATGTTCAAGAGAGGTCTGTAAAATGCCATATGTCCAGTGTGGGGCTGTCTTAGACTTGCCACGCCTAACTTAGCGTACACTTTGCACTGTTTTTTCTGTAGTGCCCCCTTAGGGCCCTAAATCCTAATTAAACCATATACCCTAAACTCAGTAAAAGTCCGAGGAGTTGTAAGAAAAACTCTAAGACCCAAGAACTCCTTAACGTCCAGCTCTCTCGCGAGCTTAGGCTTCGCATCAGGCCAGACTGCGTGCCACATCCCCAAGCCTCTTCCTGATGCTTGGGGACTGAGCCGGCGCTAGCTGAGAGAAGGGCTCAGAAGCTCAGGGCTTGCGACAGATGAACTTTTCTTAAAACGACTTTTCTTAAAACGGAGGGGATGGGAGGCCATGGGATAGGGGCCAGGTGACTGCCGTACTTTCACCACATTCACTCCTCCATACATACTCGAAGAATTGCTTCACATTTAAAAAGGGATTCTCACATCCAATGGTCTTGTTATTCACCGCATGAATCGCTTGCTACATGTGTTGCAAATTGTAAGCAGATTTCCTTAAATCCTGGGCTCCTGCTTGCTTTCTCTTGTATGTGTAATTACCATGTTGAAGGTATATGTTTTTTCTCTACACAATTTATGAATAGAGGTGTCTCGAAATTCAACAGCAACTAGCAACTAATCGTAACATCGCAACTATTGGAGATCATGAGAACACTATAGATAAGGAGCTCATATGTATACAGAAGCCCAAGACTTGAGAGATTCAGATCTTATTTCGCAGCGTGCTTAGTATGAAAAATGAGGAGAACAGGAGCCTAAGATCTAAAACATCCTGTTTACATCCGTAAAACATGTAGCAATGATTAAATGCGACATTCACAACGAGATATACTTTCCTTGAGGAATGTGCACAGCCATGGTAGGCCTGCTCTTTGGCATCAGTCATGCTAACATTTCAGAATCTATAGGGCCACAACAGTCCCATCCCATACCCTAAACCCTAGAACCTAGACCTTAGACCCTAAGCCCTAGACTCCAAACCCTAAAGCCTAAACTCAACTTATGGCACTGCAGCACTGGAAATGCTCATCACCCATTCTGAATCCATGGGGGTGGCAATACTCTGTCCCTGTCCTAGAACAACATGAAGCCTTAGAAGGGGACCTGCATAGAGCTGAAAAAGCAGAGTTGATGCTTCGCTGACCTGCAAACCATGCTTCTTCACGCACACGCCACCACAGCCCCTCTTATATATAGATATATGTATATAGAGGGTTCCCCAATATAGTAACTTAATTAAATTTCCTTAACAGCAACCCAGTCCTGGTTAATTGCCTTCCTGGGCCGCACTGTGCAGCCGCTTGCACGAGGTCGTGGTTTGCAAGGGCCATTCCCTAAAACAAGGGTTTGGGGTTTAGGATTTAGGGTTTAGGGTTCAGGGCAGCAAGTAATTACTAATGGGGTCCAGTCCACGAGTTCATGACCAGGAAGCTACACTCGAACGCATAAACGGTACACAATGGATACCACCCCCCACCCAGTAACAGTTGGATAGTTTTTACAAGTTTATCGTGAAAAGCCCTCACATTATCCTATACTGCCCTCATTGCAGGCTATTGCTAAGTAGGGGCAGTACCCAAGATATAGTTTCAGCTTGAGAAGAAGATGGGAAAGGCTTGCGCTGCCACTGTACAGCTGAGCCTCTGCCGCGATGATGTGCCTGGGAAGGAAGCAGTGCGCAAGGCCAAAAAAAGGAGTGGACGCGCATCTGCTGGAATTATGCGAAAGGAGTTTATATTGTATACATATATATGTATATATGTCTATGCAAGTAGTATTTCGGTTAACATAGGACATGCAGGAATTATCCTCTGTTCTTAACCTTCTTAGCACAGGTTAGACTGCAGTCGTGCAGGGATTTTGGGGCTTTTCCATCTGGTCTGCATGTCCACTGAGGTTCGGAGAAACCGGTTTGCGCCGAATGCCGTCGCCGGACGACTGGAATAGCGAGGCTGGCTAGTGGCCGGCAACATGTGAGCTGCAGTCTAAACTCCTTAAAGGGGGGGGTATATAGGGAATTCTACAGGGGAGTATTGTAGGCATTCTTAAGGGGGATACTAGGAGTTCAGACTATGGTTGATGTAGCTGAGAAAGCCTCGATCCAGTGCAGAAGCAGATCTGCAGACAGCCGGCAGCAAGTAGGACTGTGCTGCATGATTTGAGACTTGCCCGCGCGCTTGTTGCTGTGGTAGCAGCCTAGTAGCAAAAGACAGTAGGTGCAATCATGCCAGGGGTGCGTGTCTAAGTCGTTCTATGCAGTACTGTATCGTATGGGATATAGTAAATGTAAGATATTTGTTGGTTTTTATGGCACGATACAGTATAATGTAGTATTATTATCTTGTACTCAGGTGGTCTACAGCATCATGGTCGACCGATTTGCGAATGGCGACATCACCAACGATCTCTACAACATCCCTCACTACCAGAAGCAGGATGTCAGAAGCCCTCCCTAAACCCTACACCCTAAAATCGGCTGAAAGAATCAAATGCTTCCATATCTTTGCCCGCAAGTATTGGACGCTGCATTACCAAAAGTGGGAACCCCAGTATACATTCCCTCTATTCCCCGCCATCATGCTGTCTACTCAGGGAAAAGCTTAAACCCGATATCTGTGGCAACGGTCCCACAGCTTGCTCAGCTGAGCCAGGAGGATGTGGGAAGTTTAAACTTAGCATCCCGCTTGAACCCTTTCAAAATTTAGGGTTTAGGGCGCGACTTCCAGCGCTATCCAAACATTAATGACTTGGACCCCCTAAAGTGGGTTAAACAATGGCCCCACAGCGAGAAAGTTCCGTGATTTCTGAACCCTGAACCCTTAACCCCTAAACCCTAGATCCCAAACCCAAAGCCCCAAAACCCTAAACCCCTAAAAGCCTAAGCCCTAGATCCCCAAACCTCAAATCCCTAAAACCCTAAAAACCCTAAACCCTAGAACCTTGAACCACTAAACCCTAAACCCCAGGATCTGAAAACTGGGGAGCCTTGGAACCTCTACCAGTGGCGACATGGTTCTTTGCTCAGAAGGGAGGTTCTGCTGGGTATACCTAAAGGGTTTCGTTTAGGGATGATGTGTTAGCCTGAAAAATTGAGGGTTTAGGGATATGACGCCAAGCATGGAAAATTCCAATGGAAAGGAAAAAGAAATGGATACTGGGAATACACAAGGGTTGTTAGAGATAGTTGCCACTATGATGGTCCTAGGGTTCTTTTATCATTGTAGTATAGGGGGCCTTAAGCAGACCTCAAAAAATCAGCTGGACATTATTCGGGCCTCTACATTAATCATGAACCCTATTTCCTGGGGCATACAATTGCCAATGAATCTTTAAGTAAAGACCGGGAAGCTGATAGTAACTGTAAGGATGATAGTGGGATTAGGGTTTAGGGTTTAGGGGGGTTCAGGGCTTAGGGTTTAGGGTTTAGGGGCTACATGGCGATTAGAGGGTATACAGGAATTCATGAACAGTGCTCTCAACTACTTAAAGGGGGTTATATAAGGGACGATGTACGGGACTACCACAGGTAAGGGGGATGCTAGCTGTTTAGACCATAGATCACATAAGGACTCTAAAGTTTTTGGGTTTAGGATGTAAGGTTGATTCTACTTTGAATGCGCCGTGGGGCTATGAGGAAGCTTCCACAACCCATGGCTCCCTTTTTGTGGGGTTCCTATGATAATTAACTGTCATGGTATTTTATTAGGATATAAATTGGGCTTCCCCCATCTGTGGACACAAGAACAAAGCTTTCAGATCCCCCAATGAAGAATCCGATGAGACGCTTGACTTGGAGTGTTTTGACATATGCGTGCTACAGGAGCCTTAGTAGTTCCTTCCGCATTGCTGCATAAGCCTTCTATCTATACAGTATGGGCTCCCCAAGGCTACCGATTCAAAAATGCTGGGACGCCCATATAGCCTGTCCCCGTCCTGGCGCTCTGATCGAGGTGGCGACCTGTTGGGCATACTTGGGAGGCCACGCGTCTGTGTGATGTTCTTGAGATTGTAATCCAGGCGAGAAGTGAAGAGAGTCACACGAACACGACGTGCCGTCGCAAAAAATGCTGGTGCCATTCGCCATGTCTGCTGTCAGCAAATTTCCCGGCCTCGCTACCAACTTTTTCGTGCGTCGTTGCGACTGCCAGTGCTTTGGTCCCAAACTAGCATAAAACCAGAAACGCCGCAAAGGCTGTTGTCTTTTGAAGGGGACCTGTGTGGGATTCCATTAGGTTTGGGGAGGCTCCCCTTCAGAAGAAACTTCAAAGGAGCAAATTCAACACTCCATGCCAAAGCCTGGATCGCCAAGCCCTGATCGAGTGCAATCAGACCAAAGCCAGCCCTCAAGTCTCAAGAGGCCCCCAGACATCCCCACGCACGTGTTGATGCGTGTGGTCTTGTAAGATGTTCTTCATGCTACTCCCCATCTCCTGCATAACTCGCATGATGAGTACCACAGCCGGTTAATAAGAACTAATGCAAGAACCATCACCACCGCCGCCACCGCCGGGCCACCTCGCTCTACTACCCCTATTCTCGCTCCTCCTATTGCTCATATTCCTACTGCCACCACTACTGCCGCTTCTTCTCAGCTAACAGCTAACAACAATGTGACCCTAACTCCTGCTAGTAGAAGCATTCAGGATAGGAGTGCTATCAGCCGACACCGCAGGCTCACCTACCTCAAGCACCTGGGGATCACTGCTGTGGCCTTGTGGCAGCCTGAGGCGCAGATCTTCATTGAAAGCTTTTTGTTGTGTCTGGGGATAGAAGTGTTGATCGAACATAGCACGTTCGTGTGGTTCGAAGGAGTAGCCAGAGGAACCAGTGGCAATTTGCTGTGGTTCGGGAAGTAGGGTCCAAGTCATGAGGTGTTTGCCAGACTTTTTACTTTCGGCACTTGTAGCTTACTGGTGGTTAGTATGGAACAAGGGAATATAGTCCCTATATAAGCCCTATAGAATATGTTCCCTTATTGCTATAGCGTGAGTTGTCATATAGTCTACCTCACCGATGCTGCAGCTCTGGAGTGTTGCTTGCAGCGATGAAACAGGGATTTTTTTTCCGGGACCTGCTGGCTGGTGCTTGAGGGAGAGTGAGGGAGTGGAACCCTTCAATAATCGTATGTAATCTGTAATCCCCTGTCTCCCTTTATTCATTAGTCTGATTGCCCTAGGAATCACTTTTCCAGGACCCCACCGTTTGAAAAGCTCAGGAGGCCGTGTCGGGTGTC